CGCATAACGGTGCCTCCCACTCCTAACCCACCGAGACGCCGCAGCATGATACCGTGGTCTACAGTATCAAAAGCCGCTGAGAGGTCCAAAAGAACAAGGACAGAGGAATAGCCTCTGTCCCGGGCCCTCCAGAGATCATTAACCAACGCGACCAATGCCGTTTCCGTGCTGTGTCCCGGCCTGAAGCCCGACTGGTATGTGAAGTCAGCCGCTTTAGAGCCCCAGTTTTCAGATCTTGATACTTTGTGAACTTCTTCAATTATTTTTCTTTTTATTGAAAATTTTATAAAATTTTACAATATGAATCCCCCCCCTTCCCCAACCCACCCTTCCACTCCCCCCTCCCTCCCCCCTCACTTCCCAGTGCCAATCACAGGGTTAACAATAAAATAATCATACTCTAACTAACATTAATCAACTATTAAAATAACATATCTATAACCTCCTTTAACTCTCTTTTAAACAAATATACAGTTATTAAAAACAATAATAACATCACTTTAATAATTAAAAATAGTACTAAATAAACTATTCTAACCTTTATACAACAATAATACTCTAAAATTCACTCAAAAACCAAATGATATTTTTGGTCCCATATTTAGGCTCAATATAATCTATCCATCTTCTCCAAACCAAAATATATCTTTCTTGTGAATAATCCTTCACATAAGCGGAAATCTTGGCCATTTCTGCTAAGTTCGAGACTTTAAGTGACCATTCTTCTATCGTGGGTAAACGTTCCGTTTTCCAATATTGAGCTACTAATAGTCTTGCAGCAGTTATAAAGTTCAACATCAATTCCATTTCTTTTGCATCCAAGTCTTCCATAATACCCAACAAAAATATCTGCAGCTTAAACTTTATCTTTTTCTTAAAAATATTTTGAATATCTTTTTCTTCTATTCTACTATCCCCTTGTATTGCTGCATCAATTATCCACTTTATTCTTTTCAACATATACCTATCTGGTTTATAATTATTATGGCCTGTCGCACAGTATACCAGATGTTCAGACTGGATTTGACATTTTTGTCTACCTATCGAATTCTTTCTAAGGACCTGGAATAGGCAGATGTGGATATTTGATGATGTTAGAGGTATCTTTGCAGGATGTAAGCTGTTCCGAGTAAAGCTGCTTTTTGCAATTGACTGATGGTGAATTTGTTAATGCCGATGGTGTTCAAATGGTACTCCAGTTGCTTTGGGATTGCACCCAGGTGCCCATGACTATTGGTACTAACTTTGCCTTTTTTCGCCACAGTCATTCTATTTCTATTTGTGGACCTTTGTATTTTGTTATCTTTTCCATTTCTTTCTCTTCTCTTCTGCTGTCTCCAGATACTGCTACATCTGTTATCCAGACTTTTTTGTCTTTCTTATCAACAATTGTTAAGTCTCTGGTGTTATGTGGCAGGTGCCTGTCTGTTTGAAGTCTAAAGTCCCAGAGCACCTTAGCTTCTTCATTTTCTATTACTTTATCTCTTTTATCGTCCCACCAATTCTTGCTTGCAGGCAAATGATACTTCTTGCAGATCTTCCAATGTACCATTGTTGCTATTTTGTCATGCCATTGTTTGTAGTCAGTCTGTACAATCTTCTTGCAACAGCTAACCAGATGGTCCGCTGTTTCTCAGGTTCTTTGCAAAGTAGCACTTGCTAGCTGTTGCTGTCTTCTCAATTCTGACTTTGTATGCATTTGTTCTCAAGGCTTGGTTTTGTGCAGCCAGAATTAGCCCCTCTGTCTCTCTTTCTTCAACTTTCCTGCTCTTAGCTATTGCCAGGTCTTGTTATTATCTGCTTTCCCTGCTGGTTTTTTTTCTAAATGTACTGGCCATGTAATGCTTTGTCTTCCCATGTCTGCTTTCTGTTCTTTATTTGGTCTTGTAGACAAATTTGGTCTCTCCAATATTCAGTAGGCCTTCCTGGTAGGTTCAGTGCATCTTCTACATTATCCTTAATATATTCTTCTAATGTCATTTTTTCTTTTTCAATTGTCTAATGTACTTGCAAGATTCCATGCCCACCCATTTCCCTTGGTAAATAGAGTCTGTCAACATTGTTGTCATTATTTTTCTGGTCTTTCTATCCAGGGCTTTTAGTTCTGCTTGAGTCTAGTCCATCATTCCAGTTGTGTATCTAATGACTGGAATTGTCCAAGTGTTGATTGCCTTGATAGTATGTCCTCCAAGAGTTTGGACTTAATCTTCTTCGCTCTCCTGATATATTCATTTCTAACCTTTTTCTTGGCTTCATTGTGCTTGATGTCAGCTGAAGGATGCCCAAGTATTTATAGTGGTCATCTTCATCCAGACACTTCATGTTATTTCCATAGGACATCTTGATTCCTTCAGTTTTCACCATTTTCTCTAATTTGATGGTAAGCAGGTCACATTTGTCCAGTCCAAACTGTATTGCAATATATTGACTATATATGTGGACATGTTGAGCAGCGATTCTATTCCAGATGGTATATTTCCATACAGCTTCAAGTCGTCCATGTAAAGGATGTGGGATATTATTATTAAGGTATTATTAATAGTAATAATTCAGTTAATTATCAACCTTATGTATTAGTTTAA